TTTGGAGAGATAATAATCAAGAAAAGTGAGATTTTTACTTATTTTCATTAAATAACATAAATACTCCAAATTAATTAATTAACGTTAATCATTTCTTAAACATCCTATTAGTTTAAAATAAATGAAAGCATAATTGTTAATCTTTAATAATGATATTTTTTTTCTTCTAAGATTTTATTCTTCCAAATAAAAGAAAATAAATTTATTTCATTTTCTTCATTATATCTAAACACAAACGTGAAAATAATTATAGAGAAATTGTCAATTCCTTATTATTATCCTTTCTTCCTTTTCAAGCAAAGCCTTACACTCTATTTGGGAACATGTGATTTTATGAAAGGAAAGAAAATATGAGTAGAAAATAATAGAGGAAGACCTCTTTTCTCTTGTTTGAAATATGGATGTAAAATTTTAAAGGAAGGAAAATTGAAGAGATGAAATCATTTCAAATACATTATATAACAATCTCTCTAAATTAATTCGCGAGCAAATGGGAATGAAGTTGAAGGCAAATGCTATTGTTTGAAAGAAATTAAGAAAATAACTTTACAACAATTTCCACGATGCATAGTCTATAGATGTATAAAGGTAAAAATATCAATTAAAAAAAATAACGGTAAAAATATAAATTTACAATAATATCATCTTTTACCTCTATAAGTTGAACCCCAAACAAAGGAAAATTTATTTTTCTTTCTCACTTTTATTTTTCTTCTAGTCCAACTATAGGGTGGAAAATAAGGAGAAATAGTGAATAATATAATTCTTCGTTATTTTTCTTTTTCTTTTTTTTTTTTTTTTTTTTTTTTTTTTTTTTTTTTTTTCTTCTAGTCCAACTATAGGGTGGAAAATTAAGGAGAATAGTGAATAATATAATTCTTCGTTATTTTCTTTTTCTTTTTTTTTTTTTTTTTTTTTTTTTTTTTTTTTTTTTTTTTTTTTTTTTTTTTTTGTGAAAGGTAAAATATTCATCACTACTAATATGCTAAAAGAACATTAATAAGAAAAGATGGAGGACAAGACCCACTCCATAGGATCAAACACAGAATAAGCTCTAGTTGCTAGCAGGTGAGCTGTGATGCCCTAGGCAAATCTCACATCAGTTAAGCACAAGGTGTAATTGAAGTACATAAGGATGAGGAAGCCTTAGACTAACAAGAGGCTTTTTGGGCTATTGAATTAGTTTTAAGCCATGAACAAAAACTATGAGTGGTGGTGGGGCAAACCTCAGTGAGGACCTTGAGTCTCTAAGGGGATGGATTTGACACCCTAGGCGAATCCTACACCAGCAAAGCAACTCAGGTCCACGCGATTTTATTGCTAAGCTAGAACCAACTCAATAGTCGAGAGGCCTCTTGCTAGTGTAAGGGTAGCCCATTCTTATACATCACTTTCACCTTGTGCTCAGTCGATGTGAGATTCCCATAAGGTAATCTAGCACCTCATCTAGTGTGGATGCTACGTGAGGAACGAGATTCGCTGACCTTCTTAGGAAACAAATAGAAGTATCAATAAGTTCATTAAGTATCTTTTGACTCAACGATAACATTTTTAAAACCTTTTTGTTTTACCCATCTAAAAGCCTCTTTGAAGGAAAGGAGCAAGCTGAGGAGAGAGCTCCCATAGCAACTGATTTTGACAAGCAAATAGAACATCTCCCCTTGCATTCCAAACCACCCAACCAGCACCCACCTGAGCAGAATTGGGATGCATAGATGCGTCGATATTGCACTTAAGAAAACTTTCAATAGACAGAGACCACATTCTAGTACCTTATGGACTATTGATAGGTTGAGATTCGAATCTCGTTTGTGCCTGTTGCCAAGAGTAAAATGAAACTGATGCTGCATTAATCTATGCATGACCCGGGGCAAAGACTCCCTTCTAAAATTAAACTAATTGTTGAGTTTAATTGCATTTTGGGATCTTTTTGATAAAAAAAGTGCGAATTTAATTAGCATATAAAAATTAAAGCTAATTAATGAGCATATATGCCGAATTAAGAGGACATTTGGTTCGGTTAGTTCATGAAGTTGGTTGCTGATTTGGACTTAACAATTAGGTGTAGAAATTTGGTAAAAATATTAATCAATAGCTAGTTGTTGATTCTATCATTTGTTAATGTCTATCAACTACATTTTAAAGTTGATTTGTATTTATATTATATTTAGACTTCATTAATCTTTTAAAAATAATTACTAATAAAATTATATTTTTTTTCAAATTAATATCGTTTTATGATAATATTATTTACAATTAATTTAAAAATGATAAATTTCTATTAAATATTATTTTAAAAACATTTAACTAGTATTTTTGTTTTTAAACAATACATTAAAAAAACATAATATGTTCACCTTAAAACTAAAAAAACAATCATAAAAATACTAATTATACATTATAATATATAAAAACTCTTAATACTCATTTACATTTTAACAATAATTGATATTAAAATTTTATCAAAAATCAAAATTCATTAACTAACCTCTCTTGCTAACTGCCATCAACTGCCATGAACTGCTACGCCAAATGCACTCAAAATAATAACATTATATTGAATATAAATGATTAAATAGTTAAATATTACTAAATGATTACCAAACCACAAAGACAGGTTAACAATTTCAGTCAAATCTAAGAAACTACATAATAAATTTTCCTTAAAAATAAAAATAGCGAGAAGTAATATGAATACTGAATGCAATCCTTTTTTTTCCCCTTTAATTATAAGAATGGTAAAGGGAAAAGTCAGAGGCAGGTTATGCTCACTTGTCACCAATAAATTCTGCCCCATCCTAGTAGGAATGGTCAAATTCCAATTTTTGAAACTGGTACCGTCAGTTCGAAATCAGTTGAAACTGTAATTGAAACTGTCCGGAACCCGCCAAAACCAGAACCGTAATTGGAAGGTTGCGGTTCGGTTCCGATTCCAAAATTTTTAAAATTGTGAACCGATGATTTCGAGAGCTGGCCAGAGCGGAAGGTTTTGGCCACCAGTTAGAAATGACGATTCCAACCAGTTCCAACATATTTATTTTATTTTTTCAAAAAATTTTATCAAAATCTCTAAATTAATCATCCTAATAACTATAAACGGCTATATTACGTTTAGTTATGTTAATGGTGTTTGTGAAAGTTAGATTTTTTGATTTCAAAATTATGAGAACCACCGGAAAAATCGATTGGAGAACAGTTTAAAATTGTCAGTTTTGGAACCGCTAAGGAATCGATATCGAAATTGTAACCGGCCAGTTCCATACTAGAACCAGAACCATTAGTTTTTGGTTTGGTTCCGATTCCACATTATTTGGAACCGGAACCGTCGATTTTGAAATTAGTATCGCCGGTTTTTGAATCATGGCCACCCTTACATCATGGCTTTTTGTAACCTAACTACCTACGAAAGTAAAAAAAAAAAAAAAAAAAAAAAAAAAATACGAAAGTAAAAAAAAAAAAAAAAAAAAAAAAAAAAAATCTAACTGTTGAAAATTATCATCCCCCCTTGCCCTTGCTTTTTTTTTTTGAGAAGAAATTCAAACTAGAAATTTCCATTAAGAGAAAAATTGTTTTTTTTGAGAAGAAATCAAACTAGAAATTTCATTAAGAGAAAATTGTATATAGATAAGAGATACAAATCAATATGTTTTTATATTTTTATATAAGAAGTCTAATAATAAATCACTCATATAAAGAATAAAAAAATACAATCTTGATTTAAAGCATATGAACGAGTTGATAGCGCATAATATTTGTACAATAGGCGATTGCTTACTCCACTTGATGGCTATTACCTTCCAATTTCTTCCTTTTATTGGAGAAGAGATGTGCACTTCTTCCAGTATAACTATCCAAGTAACAAAAGACGTTAGACAAAATCATCATAATGGTGATAACAATAACTCAGAATTAGTTCTGAGAATAAAATATCAAAATATGGGTGACAATAACTCATATTTGTATATAAATCTATAAATTATTTGAAAATAAAAAATAAAAAAGGAAAAGAGGTGACCATTGGTCGCCTGTGGAAAAAAAAAAAAAAAAGCTTTTAGAGTTTTAAATTTTGGAGGAAGAGAGAGCTTGCCACAATGCAAGTCAATTTCTATTATTGCCCTTGCCTTGCCCAATAAAAAATTTATATTTATAAAATATAGAATATATTGATATGTTGCACATATCAATAAAAGTTGAAAAACTTGCGTTATTCCAATCAGATCAAGGTCCTGTTGAAAGCAAGTTTGCAAGTGATATTTACTTTTAACGTTCGCTGAAATAATTAATTTCGCCGAATAAGTATCCTTTTCCAATGAAATCAAATAAGACTCACATTCCAACTTAGTCTACATATTTAAAGATCATTTTGTGAGAACTTTTCTAATAATAAAACCATGGTCAATAAACTGTAGAAAAATCTAGCTTTTCTGAGTAAATCCTTGGAATTACTAATTACAATTGTTTTTGTTTATACCACAGTTATCCTTAACTCATTGAATTAAGATTAATCTTACTCAATACTGCAATAAGTGTATAAAAAAAGCGTTTCAAACGAAATTTTTTTTCTATTCATAAATATCGAATACTCGTCTCTTACGGAAAAGAATTTGAGCCTTTTCTACTCGAAACAACTCGTGTGTCACCAATTGCAATTCTCTAATAAGGAGCTTTTCCTCTTTCCGGGTTATTGGAACGACTCCGACTCAAAATTTTAGCCGCATAACTCAATCTGATGGCACATGCAGCCATAGCCATACGCCATTAATTTACCATATCCGTACAAGATAGCACATCCATTCATGCACAATACAAACACTACACCAAATTTCCAGCTGGCTACTCTTTTATTTATTTATTATTTTTTTCACATTTCCCATAGTAAAAACATCCTCACAGTCAACGCCCTCTCATTACTCCGTGACCTAAGCGACCCACTCTCGTAATTTCAAATTTCAACCAGGGTATTTGCGTACTTTCCTCCTCCACTAACCAAAATCCTTGCCCGTCTGTCTGGCTCCGGTACTGCGTATTGCATGATGATGTGGCACTTAAGGCCAAAGACCTGTGGAATGAAGGAAAACGCAGGGACAAACGCCACCGAAACCGTGAGCGATTAGATATTGACAAATGCGGTGAGAGAGAGAAAGAGAAGAAGTAGACGAAGATGCTCAAATAGTTCCAAATTCCATTCACAGAAAGAAGAAGGTCGAAGGAGCTCGACTTTTGAGTTATTTTCAGCAAAGCAATGTCTGCTAATACCAGAATTTAATGCTCTTCTTCTTATTAGTTTACTCTTCTTTTCTTCTTTTTTAATGGTTATTTATAGATTATAGTACATTTTAGTGGAGGTGAGTGTTTGTTTCGCCAGTTTTTTTTTACTGATTTTTCTTCCACGGCAAGTTTTCCTCTGTAACTTGAATTTCCATTGCTGAATGCAGGTCCTCGATCTTTGGCGAATTTTCTTTTCTTTTCTTTTTCCTTTTTTTTTGAGCTGAAATTTAGAAAAGAAGGTTAGTTAATGTGCGTGAACTGTAGTTCCTTTGCTTTTTGTTTTGTTTTTTGTTAATTAATTGTATTATCTGCACTCTTTTTTTCAGTTTTAATTTCCGTTGAAAAGCAAGTCAAGAAGCGTAATGAATAATCTTCATTACTGCTTTTTTTTTTCCCCTTTTTTGCTTAATTCTGTGGAAGTTGAAAGTTGAAACGGACTCTTTTTTCTTCAGTTACTTTGTTTAGCGCTTATGGAGTGAAGTTGAAGATCTTAACAAGCAAGTCCTTGAATGGATATTCGGTTTCCAAATAGATCCGCTGAAGTAGTAGCATTTGATCTTGATCCGGCTTGAAACCAGAACATTTTGGTATAAAAAGAAATCTTAAAACTCTATTTCTAGTATTGACTGTTGCTTCTCCTCTGATATGGCAATGCAAATGATAACAATTCCAAAGGCCGAGTGAATGTTGAGGTCATTGGCTTAGAAGAGGTAACACAGATTTGAAAATTTTGCAAATTTGGTAAATTTTGAAGTTTTAAAGTGATCAATGTGAATTTTGGTGAAAAGCAGGAATTTTGGGTTGTTGCATTAGTTAAATGTTGAAGATGGCGTCGTGGGATAATTTGGGGGAGCTTGCGACTGTGGCCCAGCTTACGGGTGTTGATGCAGTGCGGTTAATAGCGATGATAGCGAAGGCTGCGACTACAGCGCGAATGCACAAGAAGAATTGCAAGCAATTTGCGCAGCATCTTAAGTTGATTGGGAACTTATTGGAGCAGCTTAAGATCTCAGAGCTTAAGAAGTATCCAGAGACAAGGGAGCCTTTGGAGCAGCTTGAAGAGGCTTTGAGAAGGTCTTATATTTTGGTTAATAGTTGTCAAGATAGAAGCTATCTCTACTTGCTTGCTATGGGTTGGAATATTGTTTACCAGTTTAGAAAGGCGCAGAACGAGATCGACCGGTACTTGCGGCTAGTTCCTCTCATTACTCTTGTGGATAATGCTCGTGTCAGGGTACATATCAGTTGTTATTTTTCTTGTTATTATTTTGCTGTCATTATTTATTATCTTTGTTGTTGTGTGAAATGAAATAATGGTTGTTGTCTTCATGTATTTTCTTAATGGGACGCCTGGTCATCCTTTTGTATCACAATTAGTCAAGGAATTTGCGCCACTGAAGTTTTCAGATGATAATCTCAACTGTCAATGAAAATAGAATTGTTTGTAGAAGCCATATACTTGGTTGATTGATCTCTTATTTCTTTTCTATACTGCTTTTGCGCAATTATAGAATTTTTAATCCTGCTAATTGTTGGATCGTATGCAGCCGAATGTAGTTGAGTTGATGAAGTTGTTGATTTGGAACTTTGGCTGTGTTTTTCCGACTCTCAATTCCTACTTTATGTTGTTAATCATGTTATCATGAATTATACTACTTCTGAAAACAGGAGGTCTAACCTTATTGTGTGCCCCAACAAAAGGAAAAGAAGAAAGAAGCAAGAAGGATATCTATTCATCTTGCATTTTTTCCCCTTCTGATTGATAATGATCTGCAGAATTTGACCAATATATTCTGCGTGCTTGGTGTTGCCCATGTACTTTAAATTGTCTGCATTTTGTATCTGTATGGTCTAATCTTAGCAAACAACTTTTTGCCACAATATGCAGGAGAGACTGGAAGATATTGAGAAGGATCAACGTGAGTACACATTGGATGAAGAGGATAGAAGGGTGCAAGATGTGATCTTGAAGCAAGAACCCTTGAAAGATCAAACCATTATGTTGAAAAAAACTCTTTCGTGTTCCTACCCAAACTTAGGTTTTAATGAAGCTCTTCGAAAGGAAAATGAGAAGCTTCAGCTTGAACTTCAACGATCACAAGCTAATTTGGATGTGAACCAATGTGAAGTTATCCAACATTTGATTGAAGTAACAGAAGCTGCTGTTGCGAATTCTGTTCCACAAAAGAGTTCACCTGTTAAAGCTTCCAAGAAACTGGAGCCCAGTTATTCAGATGTTAGTGAGAAAAATCATTCATATGATGAAGCTTATCCTAAGAAAAATAATTCTCGCACAACTTCAAGGTTAGATTCCTCATAATCTATGTATATGAACTGTCAGCATGGCTGAAGTATGCATATAGTATGATACTACATCTGCCATGACACAGTTTTGCATATTCCTTTGGCATGCCTGATAGGCATTGAAACACTTTGGATTTTGAACTGCTCACTTGTTAAAGGATAACATTATTCAATTGATGTATGTGATTATTGATTGCAACTGTCAATTAGCTCAGAAGTGTTCCTTTAAATGAGCGCTTTCTCAGAAAGCCGTATAACTGGTTGCCAGATTTTTGTTTAATACCAAAGAATGCCATCCCAATTAGCTGAAGCACTCAGCAGTCCGTGTAGATGCTATCTACTACATCTGAAAAATTGAATGCTCTGAAACACCTAAAAGGTGACACTGCTGGGTTGGAAATACTAAAATGAAAATAGTTTTTTCAAATCTTAATAATTTCTGATACTGACATAGGTTTTCCAACATTAATTCTTGCATACTCTGTTCAATTTATGATCCTTACTCTGTTTAACTTACAATCTTTAAGTCTTGTAAAGCAAGTGCAGTTCAGTAAAGTCTGATGCTATACTTTTGTGTAGAAATACATCAGGAGATGATCTGCTCTCACGGAAAGGCTCATATCGAGATGAAGAATGGCATACTGATTTGCTTGGTTGTTGTTCAGAGCCTTCTCTATGTATGTCCTCTCAGTTGATCATATGCTTTCATTATCTGATAAGAAGTTTAATTACTATATCCATGCCATTGCTTTTCAATTTTCATGTCCTTTGTTTTGATATTGTGTTCTAGCTGTAAGAAGGATTAATCTGCTTGTGTTTTTAACTTTCTATACGTCTATATTCTTGCAGTCTTCAATTTCAGTGGTAGCAAAATTAACTTCTTCCTAGTACAATCTTTCATCATGCAGAACATATATTGCTTACTCCTTGATTTTTATCTTCCAGTTAGCTTTTACTGTGGTGTTGCCTTTAAAGGTTTTGCCATACTCATGAAACAACACCAAAATGTTATGTTTTTTTTTGATTATTAGTGCCAGATGTGACGAGTGCACTTATGAAATTTGTCTCAGTTTTTGTCTGCCTTCAAATTTTCTAGACTGGGCCCATTATGCAAGATGACTACTACAATAACAACAACTAAGCCTTAATCTCAAACTAGTTGGGGTTGGCTATATGAATCATTTGTTTCCATTATGCTTTGTTCATAGCTAAATCCGCATTAATGTCAAGAAACAATATGTCTTTTGCAACAACTTTCTTCCATGTGGTTTTAGGTCTACCTCTTTTCTGTTTAATACCATCTGCCACCATAGTATCATAATTACAAACTGGATCACATAATATTCTATGCAGCACAATATAAAAAAGTTGAAGTAGTAACCTGAGAAAGAATTTTAATGGACTGCCAATCTGATTTTAAATATCGTTGGCTAATTTGTCTCAGATTGGTTTTTTAGAGCCTCTCTCTCTCTCTCTCTCTCTCTCTCTCTCTCTCTCTCTACTCGCATGTACAAAGGACAAATAATTGTAGAACAATTGCAAAACCATTTATATCTTTCTGTGCTTTCATCTTTTTAATCTTCCTGTTGCTACTAAAAGACCACCTTATATTAGCCAAATTTTCTCTCTCTCATTTGCATCCTTCTCAATCTGCAGGTATGAGAACATTCTTCTATCCTTGTGGCACTATTTCAAAGATAGCTACTGTGGCAACCAACAGGCACATGTGTAAGTGGATCTAATTTATAGTCAATTTTACCATTTGGACAATGTAGCTTGAATCATGTTGCTAACTTCATTTTGGATTAAAGCTTAGTTTAGTTGTGCCAAGTTATTACAATGTTTCATGCAGATCAGTCGAAACTGAAATTTATCCTTATCTAGAAATGAGGGTGAAGGATATCAAAACTCGTTTCCTTCCATTTTTATTGTAATGATAAATTACCTTACTAGTTTATTACTTGATATTTGCGCACAATTTGAATTTAAAATTTGGCATCCAAATAAATTATGTCATGTTATCTAATATTAAAATCTGGATAACATTTAAAGCCAACAAATTCCCTATGGGTCTGATTGTTCTATAGGTTTTATGGGCATGTTATAAATCTTATTAATTTTACGTGAACTTGGGCTTAAATGTCATATATAAGGTGAATATATGGGATGGGCTGTTATTTTAGTTAAATTCTGCATGGGCAAATTGAGGACTTCTGACAAACTAAGTATTTTTCCTCTGTCATACGAACTGAAATTCGAACAATAACATATCCTAGAAATTCTTTGCATGCTTTGATATATTCTGAAGCTTATGTATGAACATTTTGTTTTGAACTTTTGATTGCAGCTTCAGCAGAAGCATGTAATGAGTTGATGGCATATTCATTGATATTATCATGTTGTTGCTATACTTGTTGCATCAGAAGGAAGCTTCGCAAAATGTTGAATATCACGGTAGTTCCTCTATCTATGAGCTTATAATATTTTTTCTGAGAACAGTCTATAGGTTAAGCGAATGAGAATGCTAATAACCTGTTCCCTATTTGTGTAATTGTGCTCCTAGCTTCCTCATATAATTGAAATCAAAGCCTGTGTCCAGGGCTCTAAACTGTAAAGTAGGATTGTAACGTGTATTGGTATGGAAGTGCTCATGTAACTGTAATTTTATTGCTAAATTAAGAGGGTTCTGAACTTCCTTTTGATGGTTTGGCAGTTTATTATAAACACATAAGATGTACTGGCTAAAACCACTAAAAAGAGGGGGAAGAAAGGAAACATGTCTTTTTGAGTTAATAAGCACCGAATCTAAAAACGCAACATTTTTATTTTCGTTTTCGAGGAAAGGGATTCCAAGTGGGAATGTTGAATTCTTGCAACCAAATACCCCATATGGGAGTTGTTAGCCTCAGGATTTGCTCTTAGGACTTCTTCACATGCCCAAGATTAGCCATGAGGAACTGAAGATAATACACTGTAAACTTAAGGATTCAGTCGCAAAAACCCCTGCACAATTATGAATTTCTAATTGTTTTTGCCTTGTCTTCTGTTCTTGCATATTCAAATTTGGATTTTGTTGGGAATTCACTGAGGACTGTTCAAACTCATGGCTAATCTTGTTTTTAATTTACATTGAATTTCTCAAATATGGTTCCTTACCTTTACTTTTCTTCCTTTGCAGGGAGGCTTTGTAGATGATTTTCTGTCGCATTTGATGTGTTGCTGCTGTGCCCTTGTCCAGGAATACCGTGAGGTGGAGATTCGTGGGGTTTATGGTATGTTTCTTAGGATCTTTATTAGAACTTAGTTAATGATAGGTGGCTATGTCAATTAGCAAGTGCTTGATATTTGATATGAAATCAACATTTGTAGGTCCTGAGAAGACAAAAATAAGCCCACCACCCTCACAGTTCATGGAATCCTAAGTGACAGCCCAAATGCATTTTTTAGTTGGTTGGACTTATCCATATACGTGGAAGGTCATATACAGAGGTAATAGCTAATTGCCACTGTTATATGGAACATGTCTGGAACTGCCTTTTAGCCATAAATTACTCTTACCCTTATATGTTGAGTCCACCATGTGTAAGTAACTTTTTTATTGATTCCATGTTCAGCAGATGATGTATTATACACTTCATTTTAATGATTTTTGAGTTTATTACTTGGTTTTGTATAATCATGTGATCTGTCTCTAAGGTTAGCTTAGGCAAGGTGCACTTCCTTTACTGAACAACATTGGATTGTATTTTTGGTTTTACATTATATTTTATTACCAGTCTGTACAGATGTATTATGTATGTGCATTTACATAGAATGATGAGGACATGATTTCTGCTGGTTATATTTCCGGCGAGTGCATTTAATTATAATGGTAGTCTGCAGTGTTCAATGTTTACAAAAGCCATAAGCTGCGCGTCTTGTGAGTTAACCCTAGGAACCCAAACGTTCGTGTCTGATTCCTGTAATCTCAATTTTCTTTCAGAATGTGTCTCGATACCTTCTTTTGTGCGATGTTCAAGTTCTAATCTTGCAGTGTAGTTATACAGTTAAAATTTCCTTGAAGAATTTTGAAAATTTTAAGTTCTACAATCCTTTCCATAATTCCAAAGATTATGCAAAGAAAACTAATGAAACTACCTTGGAATGAAGATAAGACGAGTAAAATTATCCACATCCATATTATGTAAGATACACAAGCATAAGATGTGCACATGCATATCCCAATAATGGCATAAAACCCCTGCACAATCAGAAATTTTTGAATTATTTTTGTGATGCCTTCTATTCTTGTGATATTAGAGGATTGGGGAGGAAAATAGCCTAAAAATAACAACATTCATATTATATAATATTTGCAAATATACAAACTTGTAGTGTCTTGTACAAGAACTGCACACTGACTAGTTCATATTATAAACAACCAAACTTTAAAACCAAGCATACAGACAATATATATTACATGTATTAATTAGATAGCTTTTGTTTGATCTCTGAATTTTATGCAGTAGGGTAAGATGCTTGCATGGCAATACCACAGAGCCCTTCTTTTGCATCAATATCTCTTTGCATTCTTATGTACCCTTCCTCACCCCATTGCGTGCCCCATGAATTCTTCACCAGCCAATAATTTGTTCCTTGGCTAACTCCATACCCAACAGCAGCAACACCGTGATCTAATTCGGTGCCGCAGTCTCCGGTAAAAATCCCACTTGAGTAGAATTGAAATTCATAACCTCCAGCATCAATGGCAACAGAAACTGGTTGCTTTGCAACGGCTTTCAATAATGCAGCCTCATTGTTGGCTGGTACATCTTCGTAGCCAGTTATCTTGGCTGCATGGTTGGCTTCCTTATTGGAATTGCATGTTCCATCAGATCCTTCATAAGGATAGTTAGCCTCTGTGGTTAGGCCCTGATTTGTTTCTATGAATTTAAATGCATCATCCATTAGACCGCCCTGGCAGCCTTGATCCTCTCCTTTAGTGTCACAATCAACCAGTTCTTGCTCAGAAAGTGAAATCAATTTTTGAGTTGTTAGCTGGGTGATTCCTTCTACTGCAGCCACTGCTGAAAATGCCCAGCACGATCCTGTATGCAATTTGATTCATCAATAAGCTAAGAAAAAAGAAGCCATCTGATAAATAGTCTAGTAGTTGAGTATTCTCCATGATGTTCAAATCCTGGAACCCCTTTTCCTTTATATATGTAGTCTAGTAATTGAGAATACGCCTCAGGGTTCAAATCCTAGAACACCTTTGGGTGTGTATATATATGGTTAATGTCTGGTAATTATTTACTTATCTAGTAGTGATTTAGGGAAGAAATTTGTTACTTACCACATTGGCCTTGGTCCTTGATGGGTGTGACTGCACCTTTCTTTCTCCAATCCATGGATGATGGCACTGCAGTAACATTTTCATACCTGAAAGGACCTGCCTGTGGAGAACACATATGACCTTTGAATCTGTTTCGCGAGGTCTTGAATTCTTCATTTGTAAGATCTGCAAATTGATTGATGCCTAATTTGTAAGGTTTGTTCGCAGCTCTGTTAAAGTATTCTATGCGTTCTACATTTTCATTGAATATTTTGTGACGCATTTCCTTCTCATTAGCATCTTTATATACTATTCCATATTTCGCCATCCATTCCTCATGCCTTTCATACATTGATGCATCTGGTAGAGATCGAGCTTCAGCTTGATAAGCCAAAGCTACCAAAATCAAGATGAATGCGAAGCAAATGCATCTGCATTGGATTGTTGGTGCCATGAGGAATGAACTGGTAGTTAGAAATGACTGAATTGTGTGATTGTTTCCGTGTATATATATAGAGTTCCTGCTCCAAATGCTTACCATTTTAGGACTCAGACAGGAAAAATATACGTGCCCTGAAGTGCATCCTGATTGGAACAAAAATGATTTTAATTAGATTAGTAGTTTAACACATTTTGAATATTTTAAAGTTTCAATAACTGTCTTATTATCTACTTTGATTTGTTATATATGGATTGAACTGAATATTAGTTCTCAGGTGTTCTATGGGTGTTTACTCTTTTGTCTTTTCTTTTGTAGTTGCCGTACCGTTTCATTTATTCTTGGAAAGGACTTTAATGAATCCTATTTGCTTCTGAAAAGTGTTTGAATTGTGAATAATGTCTAATACTTGGTAACATTATACCATTCTAGGATTTAGGTTTTTATACCTTAATAGTTTTTTGTTGCCTCTGAAAATTGTTGAATTGAACTGTGTAGCATGTGGTCTATACAACAGAGGATGACATTGCACAAATAGTAGAAACTACAGAGTCCATCCTAAGTTACTTGAGTTAGTCTCTGGTTATGCGTTTGGAATTTTGGAATAAACTAAATGAAGGTATTAGTCTGATAATCATCATGAACCGATTATGGCCTTAGCTAGCTATTTGTAAAATTAACAATAACCTGTTTCCTTTGAGTTAATCCAAAGTAAAATTTCACTTTTTTTTTTCTTTGTACGTAAGGATAGTGTTGGGCAACAGCTTTTAAGTAATAAAGCATTTTGACCGGTTAAAACATTAAATGTTGTTTTTTACAGAGATTGGTAATATAGCCTTTGAATTCGCTTTTAAAGGTCAAGATAACTTTAAAAAGTCACTCATGTAACATTTAACTTTTAGTGTTTTATGAAAAGTTATTCATACAGTTAACAGCTACTAAAATAATTAATAACTGCTAAAATAATTAATTTTGCCGTAATTAATAACTGAGAAAAACTCAAAGAAAGAATATAAATAAACACCGTAGAATAAGAAGTATCACAATTGTATATCATGAAGTTAATACTTTCAAACCAACAAATATATATGATGAAGTTAATAATTTCAAACCATAGAGTGTAAAGGTTTTTGGGTACCAGAAAAGTTCGGGAGTGAATCTGCGTGTCATCCTTGTGAGGATTCTTCCAACAACACCTTGTTAGTTGACCAATTATCATTTGATAGTCCACATACAACTAAGATCAGGGGCAGATCCGACTCAAATGTTTAAGAGGGGTTAAGAATTGATTTTGTTTAATTCGAGGAGTGAAATTAAAATATTTTTTTCAAAGAATTTTTTTACCACTAAAAATTTTTATTTAGTGGGCCATAACCCTCTTGTTTGTATTGTCTGTCTGTCCCGCCCTGCCTAAGATTTGCTCCTCAAATTTCCAGCCAAGAAATGATAACCAAAAAAGTGTGATGGCATAGAATCCGACTCAAATTTTTACTTGCCCTAATCTTTCTTATAAAAACCAATATTTACCTGTTCGTTTCACAGCAGAATTATGATCCACGAAATAAACTATGTAATCTACATTGAAGATGAAAGTGGCATAACATATCAACACTAATATTACATATAATTGCAGATACGCAAACTTATAGGATGTTGTACAAGAATTGGACAACATTCATATTATATAATAATTGCAAATATACAAACTTGTAGTGTCTTGTACAAGAACTATTTCAGGTTATGAACAATCAAACTTTAAAAACAAGCATACTGATGTTATGTATACATGTACTAATTATATAGCTTTTGTTCTTATATTGAATTTTATGCAGTAGGGTAAGATGCTTGCATGGCTATACCACAAAGCCCTTCCTTAGCGTCAATATCTCTTTGCATCCTTATATACCCTTCTTCGCCCCATTGCGTGCCCCATGAATTCTTCACTAGCCAATACTTTGTTCCATTGCTAACTCCATAACCAACAGCAGCAACACCATGATCTAACTCCGTCCCACAATCTCCGGTAAAAATCCCACTTGAATAGAACTGAAATGCAAAGCCCCCAGCATCAATAGCAACTGAAACTGGTTGATTTGTAACAGCCTTCAATAATGCTGCCTCATTATTGGCTGGTACATCTTCATAGCCAGTTATTTTGGCTGCATGGTTGGCTTCCTTTTTGGTGTTGCATGTTCCATCAGATCCCACGTAAGGGTAATTAGCCTCTGTGGTCAGGCCCTGATTGTTTTCTATGAATTTGAATGCATCATCCATTAGACCGCCCTGGCAGCCTTGATCCTCTCCTTTAGTGTCACAGTCAACTAGTTCTTGCTCAGAAAGTGAAATCAATTTCTTAGTTGTTAGCTGAGTAATTCCTTCTACTGCAGCCACTGTTGAAAATGCCCAGCATGATCCTGCATGCAATTTGATTCGTCAATAAGCTATGAAAAATAACCCATTAGCCAAATAGTCTAGCAGTTGAATATCTAGTCAAGAAGCCTTTTCTTTTATGTGTGTGTATTTTGGAAAATTGGCACTTACCACACTGGCCTTGGTCCTTGATGGGTGTGACTGCACCTTTCTTTCTCCAATCCATGGAAGATGGCACTGCAGTAACATTTTCATACCTGAAAGGACCTGCTTGCGGAGAACACATATGGCCTTTGAATCTGTTTCGTGAGGTCTTGAATTCTTCATTTGTAAGATCTGCAAACTGATTGATGCCTAGCTTGTATGGTTTTCCTCCAGCTTTGTTAAAGGATTCTATCCTCTCTACGTTTCTCTTGAATATTTTGCGACGGATGACTTTCTCATTAGCATCTTTATATACTTTTCCATACTGAGCCATCCATTTCTCATGCCTCTCATTTATTGATGCATCTTGCAGAGATCGAGCTATGGCTTGAGAAGCCAAAGCCCCCAAAATGAAGATCAATGCCAAGGAGATGCGTGGGTATTGAGTATTGAGCGCCATGAGAACTGGAATTGGTATATTTTAGAATTGATGGAGTTGTAGGATTTCTTCTTTCATTTATATAGAGTTGCATGCCCTGCAACTTATTAGGATTGAGACAGGGAAACTACGTGCCAGGAAAAACATTCTGATTTAGACCAAAATCTGATGATAGTTTAAGATGTCTTGTCGTTTCTGATGTATCTAAGCGGTTTACATCAAACCATGCATCTTGCCGTGCCGTTTACTAGTAGCAAGAAAATGGCATTTATAGATGGTTCTAACTCAGCATTCAGGTTCTTTCTTATCTTCTTTTTTATTCTTTTTATATTCTTCCTTCTTCAAATTTTATCTCAGATTGGCTCTCTGCTGGTTAACCCAAATTTTCAGAAAACACATACTTAAGCATAAAGTTTATTTATTTATTTCCTAAATGGTTATTGATGAAATTTCAGGTTGCAGAATTTGAAGAACTTCTAATTATTCATTGAAATATACTGATTTCTGGGTTTGTGAATCTATATATTTATATATGTATGTATATATTGATTGTCATCTTGAATTGATTCTTAATTTTAACTTAAATGTTACTTAAATAAGCAAATCTATTTTAAGTTATAAGTAAATCTAATTAAATTAGTTTAATAAATATTCTAACTACAGTATTAATTGCATTCATCTAGTATAGATTCAAAATCAAATTTAATTATATATTTTCGTAAAATATCAAGAAAATTAATACTCCCTCTGTTCCTACCCTAATAGCAATAAATAAGCGTTTTACCTTATTCCACTTTAAGTGTTTATTTACCATATTAATTGTTTTTTTTTTCAATTTTATCTATATTTATTAGGTGACGTTTATTTTCATATTTATTTTTATGAAGAGCAATTTAAGCATTCTATCATATACTTTTAGAAAATTAATGAATTCCAATCATTTTTTTAGTCCCTGTGAATAGAGCAAATGTTGCTATTAAAATAAAACGGAGGGAGTCATAATTAATTATTAAAGAAAACAATAAAATTTTGAAATTCAATACTGGTTAGTCATTAATTTAATAATAAAATTTAGATATAATTTCAAATATCATAAGAAATAATTTTACGATGCAAAATATAAGTTATCTTATAATCTAAAGTTTTTTTATAATTTATTATTTGTAACTTTTGAAATTTAGAGAAAAGTTGCAGAATTTGACGTAAGTTAATTTAATAATAATCACATTGTTGAGAACATCCACCCAACAAGTTTGACTGTTAATCCGGTTAAGTTTGACTAAAACCGGTTAGAAACAAAGCGAGTCAATCAAATTTGATTTATTTGATGGAAAACCATTAGCCAAGTAAAATATTTTTCATATATATGATTTTTTTAATGAAACTTATTTAACTAAATTGCAGTCTAATTCTAGTTTAATTTTTAGCCATTGATTCTTCGTTTCAATTGGATTGATGATGGAGCCGAATATAAATAAAACCTTGGTATAATTTTTTTTCTTTAAAAAGATTAACCTTGGTGTAAATTAATAATAAAAAAAAAAGATTAAACACAATTACCAATTATTCTAGAAAGCGTTACTATCTCTATTGTATAATACTTGTCATATTTGATAAAATATTGTCTGAAAATACTTATTATATTTGTAATTTCAGAGAGTAATAAATATTTTTTCTGTGTTTACTCTTTGTATATGACCAATAATTATTATTTCAATTTAATGATTTTCTTAAAAAACTAGTATTAGATTAAAGGTAACATAATCATTTTACTCAATAATTTATTATAAATTTCTTAAAAACTATATTTAGAATTAAAGGTAAAACATAATCATTTACTCAATAATTTAATTATAAATTAATAATTTAATATTTTTGAGAGACGTGAATTTAAAATGTAATAAGCTATTATAAAATTAGAGGTATTAACTTTTTATTTCAAACAGAGTAATTTTGGAATTTCTGCTTCACCTAATAAGTTCAAACCCCTCTAGTTAACCTTATCCAAACCTCTTAATGTGTAATTAATTGGTCATTGGAGTAAGTTTCTTTTTTTAAATTTGCGTTTTGATAGGTTCAAAAGGGAACATTTAATTTTTGAATTTTACTGAAGTTCATTTTAAAATTTGGAGTTTATAATCCAAAATTAAGTAGATATTAGTTAAAAATAATAATTACAACAAATAAGAAGTAGAGCGTCAATATTGTATACGAAGGCAAAAGTAGGGAGGTTATTTGTAATTGTCCCAAAACATAATGAATCCGTTTACCGATTAGACTTAACTCTGATGGACTCGCGTTCTACGCCCAGGCTTGACTGTTTTATCCCTGTAAAAAAATCTGATTGTTAGAAAAAAAACAAATCAAACAAGTTATTGACACGTAGACGTGTAACATTATCCCGCAGTAAAATATGCTAACAATATGATCATCTTCACCCCTAAATTTGTTTCACTTCGCCCTTAAAAATTTAAAAATGATCGCTGATTCTTCGGTCACCAAAACCGTTTTGTTTTTCTTGGGTTTCTGGCAGCAGGAAATTTGAATCTTTATAAAACGCCAAGAGAACGTACGGAGGCTCGTTTTTCGTTATCGTGTTATCTTATTTAACTAGAGAGATGGCTTTGCAATCCAAAACTAGAATGTCATCTTCGAAGACACAGATTACCCTGAAGAGCAGCGGATGGAGAGCGTTTGAGCGTGGGATTGCAGGGCGGTGGCTTTGGAATCGCAAACGATCAAGACATGATTCGGAGGATGAGTGTGCGCCGATAAACGGAGAATCCTCTGCTAATGTGACAACAAAGATCTTGGCTAAGGTGATTGAGTACTGCAAGAAAGCACGTCTGGAGAACCCTAAGTCGATGATACGGGAAGCAACGGCAATGTGCAGATGACGAGTGCTGAAGAACTGGAGACGTTGAGTTTGTCAACTGATCCAAACCTACACATCGTTTGATACTCAATCTGTCGATACTTGACCTTACTTCTTTTCTTTTTTTTCCGCTATTTTTTTTGTTTTAGATCTGTGTCTCTTATGATTCAGTTTTTGTCTTTTTTTAATTATCGTCGTTGATTGGTCTATTATTACTTGAATGCTCGATTGAATTTGCGTTTCTGTTTTTTTTCGTGCGTGAAAATTTGAATTGATGATGTGTTTACTTGATTTATAATGGGCGTGCTGTTAGGATTTCTTCTGCTCGTTTTGCTGTATAGATAGATTGATTTAAGTTATGCTTCTTTAAGGATTTTAGCTAGTTATGTCAGAAAATTTTATTGAGTATTTATATTATCATGTTAGCTAATTTTGGTGTTTTATTTTAGTTATTTCCATTAATTTTTTATCCAACATAGATCTATGTAAGCTCTAGTTTATATTAAAAATGGAAAATAGGGCATTTATGAATCAAATGATGATATGCATTTGTTATGTGTGTAAAGCAAGAAGTTATATAAAAAGGGATAGACATTGTCTAGGGTAGGGGAGAAAAACCGAAACGGATAAAAGGGACCACAGGAAAGGCTGAAATTGTAGATTGACTGCTCAACATACCAAACATGAAAACTTTGGAGTTTCTTAGAGGTTTTGTGCAGTTTGTCCGAGTCATTATTAAGTTTAATAGCAAAGTTGTGTAAAACTGCAATTAGGTTAGTAGAGGAGCCATGAAGACCTTATTGTAATAATAATAACTCTATGTATAAAGTGTAACACGCAGCTAATGTTACTTGCATTGTATTGCGAAGTGTTCATATGGAAAACAATTTTGAATTTGATGAATTAATTGGTTAAATGTTTCAATTCTGTTTTGAAAATTGTACTAGCTGTCGTATCCATGTGACAAATTTTCTTGATCATGGAAATGATATAGTTTATTTTATTGTGATATTGATTTGTTACTGGGCATGTAACCTTTCATCATCTTTGTCATTGTTCGTTACTTTGGCTTGCTCAATCATGATTCATGAAAGAGAATCTTTTTTTAGGTTAATGTTTCATTGCTGGCTGTGAATCATAAGATATTTTATTGTGTTGGAATATTTGCATGTTATTGGTATTCTGTATAGAAAATTAATAGGCCAATTAACAGGGTAAAGTTGCTACTAAAGGCAAATTGGCTGCTGGAGCCCAGGCTCTTGCCAATTGTGAAGGATTGTGGCTAAGTGTACGTGGAGGCGCCAAGGTAAAAAATATGAGGACAATTATTAACACACAGTTGGAAACTAAAATTTATATTTAAAACGATACTAAAGGAAAAATAACAAAGGGACATTGACATAAATCAGGAAAAAAACATAATTAAGAAAAAAGATCATGCAACCACAATCGGTGCTTGTTATATTTTAAGATCGGTAGGAGTTATAGACAGAAGTTGGTAGTAGAAGCCAGCATATGTGAATACAAGAAAAAAAACACAAAGGTAAATGCGAGAGTAAACAATAAGGAGAGAAGTTTATATATATATACTATATATAATATTATATAGAGAGAGAGAGAGACGAGAGAGAGAGAGAGAGAGAGGGATGGTGTGGGATTTGCAGGAGTGTGCGTGAGGAGAGAGAGGAGGTTGGATTGCAGGAAGTGATGCCGAGGAGCAGCGGCGGATGGAGGAACTGCAGGCTGCATTGCCAGAGCGCACATTGGTTTATGCATATGGTTTGTTTCTTTTGTTTATTTTTTACTTATTTATGTAAATAGATGCGAGCTGGAACTATTTTGTTGAGCGGAAATCCTTAGTGGACTCTGTTTGTGGTTTTTGGTTGTTTTGTGTTATGTTTTGTTTTTTGTTTTTGGCGTTGGGGGATGGGGGGTGGTGAAGGCTTTACCTTTGCTTGAGCCTCTGCCTAGAGGCAAGCGCCTTAGTGAAGGTTGCCCGCCTCTAAGTGTTTGAGGTGCCCTAATGTAGGCATACCTTTACTATACTATAATAGGATTATGGATCGATTGTAGTGTTTTTGGTAATCTCATGATCTCGTTAAGGTACTTTATTATTACTAGTTAAGTTGCATTTAGTTTTCATATG